CACACACACACACACACACACACACACACACACACACACACGCACACACGCACACACACACACACACACACACACACACACACATGTATGAATCTACTTATATCCCTGTAGATGTATGTGTGTGTGCAAGTGTTATGCTGGTTGTTCAAATGTTGGGTATGTCCGGCGTCCACGTGGCTGTACCACGTGATTTGATTGTACATCGTTGTCGGATAGACGTTTCTCATTACCCCGTCGCCATTTTCGGCACCGAGCCCAAATGCACGACCGTCGGCAATCACGGAGACTTCCACGCTCGAGGTTGACGACACCACCCTAGGCTCAGATCCCACCCTGTTTGGTTTTCCATCACACTCACAATCACAAGCGTTGTTTCGTTTGTTGCCCGTCTTGGTCTCCCATCTGATCTGAATGGTGGCCGGGTCATCCGCCGTCGTCTTGCTTTTCATTCGGATGATCCAAGTCGGTGTTGGTTGCCATACAGCCCTAATACAGCCCTAAAACTCGGTGCAAAAGACGTTGTGGAATACCTTATGGTTCCTTTCCTCTCTGTCTAGCCAGCGCTCCAGAACGGAAAACCCCGGTGCTGAGGCGACAAAATAAATGCGCGTCGGCATTTTTCGTTTATATCATTTCCAGGCCGCTCCCAGCCACTGTACTGAACCCCCCCGGTCCTTCGGGACATGCGATACAGAGGCCCCTGCAAAGGATGACGCGCAATGTACTGAGGGTAGTGTCCCTACCTCAGCTGGCACACCCTTGAACTGTAAAAATCCACACTACTAGAGTTCGAATCCACCTGCAACCAGACGAGTAGAACAAAATAAGGGCTCGCTCAACGACTCTACCGGTATCTCTCGCATACTTCGAGACTACTCCGCCTGCACACTCTCGAAAATAGAGAGCCCCCTCCAGATCCGGGATGAAGCCCCTCCACATCCGGGATGACTCGACCTGCACACTCTTGAAAATAGAGCCCGTTCCACATAGCTCGTTTCTTTTCCTTTTTTTTCGATGGCCTTGAGATATCATCATTGAACAGACTTGTTCTGGTCATCTGAATGTATCTGGATTCGAACTTGGGTCGGTATTTCAACAGTTCGTGGGTGTACCAACTAAGCTAGGCCTGTGGGTCTCTTTTCTTTTTTTGAGTTGAGCTAGACATGCAATTCCTTCATCACGAGGTAGCTATGCTTGCAGGGGTCCCCTGTCTAGCCTTAGGAGTAGTGGTACGTAGTGGAAGGTGAATTGAGAGAGGCCAAAATATATATATATATATGTACTTTTATTTCTATTTTTTCAAAGGTGGCCCGAACCCGCTTGGCTTCTGGTGCGGATATATTTTTATTTTTATCTTTTGTAAACATTTGGGGCTGGAGTTGTAGAGCGAAGGCATGGAAACATCAAGAGTTTTCATAGCTATGCTAACTCTTCAGAAAAAAGTAGCTCGGAACCAAGAGCTCGCTATGGCTAGAACCTCCTCCCATTGTGGACGGTGGTATTCTGGCTTCCCTCTACCGGTTTCGGTCGGAGCCAGATTCCAGCCTCATCAGGAGGATAGAAACAATTCCGAGTAAAGGTGAGGTTCTATCTATGAGGTAAATACTTACCTTCATCCTAAGTAACTGCGGAGTACTCGGTAGAGTTCGTATTCCCTTAGTTTCAGTTTCCCCCGTAACACGTTTTCCCTCCACCGAGAGTCACTAGTTCCCACAGAAGGGTTCCATAAATCTTTGTGTCCGAAAAATAGGGTTGAAGAGAAGTTGGCTACTCGGAGTTACCAAGCCTATCTGACCTGGTTTCGTCCTTTTCAAAAACCTTAAAATCAAATTTGAAAAAATCCTTAGGTAAAGAAACAGAGGAAACAGCTACGCGGAGTTACTAGGTCTGTCTTACCTGGTTTCGTCTTTTTCTAAAACCAAAGAATAAAATCCGAGAAATTCTTCGAAAAAATCCAAAAAATCCGAAAAAATCTCCGATTTTTTTTTTGAGAAATAAATTAGAAAAATAAATTCATAAAATAAATCTAAAAATCCAAAAAATAGGTCTAAAATTAAAAAAATATTTAAACCAAAAATAAATTTAAATTTAAATTTAGACCGAAAAATAAATATGAAAGGAGTAAGCTATGCAGAGTTTTCAAACTCACCTTCTTTGTACTGACCTTTTTGAAAAAAATCTGCAAGAAATCCGTAGGGGATCTACATGAAATCCTGCTCTTCCACGTGTGGATTTTCACGGGGTCCGTGGCCGACTAGACTTGGCAAATGAAAAATATTCTTCAAACCTTCTCATATTCGTGTCGGATATTGAGAATCGTGAATGGTCTCTCAGTGATATCATAGTATCTCATTAATTACCATCCACAATACTTATTGTTTCATTCTTTCCATGACGGTGTCCGTCTTTTGACGAATTTCCCCAGACAATCTTCAAAGTATTTCTTCGGGTAGTTTTGTACTCGTAGGTGTCTTTTTAAGGTGAGTATGCCCAACCCTGCTAACTCCACATTAAATGTCATCTGATAAATCTGGTGAAGGCTGCAAGTAATAACCTTTTTTTTTTGTAAGATAGACGAATAGGAGTCGCACTCATGAAACATTCTGAAAATTAGTGTACACCGCTCTTCCCAAATCTCTTTATAGTTTATCTGAATTAGTTGGGTCGTCATTTTTTTCCCTTTTTTGACCCTAATCATGGTACCTAGAAAGTCTCATTCCGACTTCCCTTCATCTGTTCGTTCGAGTGATAGTGCTTTATCATAAGCTGATGAAAAGCGGTTGATGATGTTTGTTATCGCCTTATCATCTTCCCTTTCATTATTCCAGACGAATATTGATACGTCGTCCATTAGGCGCGTTCCTTTCACCATCTTTCGTTGTGTTCCTAGGTTAAACAAAAAGCAATATTCATTAAAGGCGCAGAGGATGCAAGTCAGAGAAGTGTTTGTACTCTTGCCCATGGGAATTCTCGTTTTTTGCTTAATCAGTTGATCCGTTGCCATAACATATATCTTTCGTAATTCAAAATTTATGAAATTTCGAATATCTTTTAAACTTACATGAAGCCAGTTGTCCTTTCCGTTTTTCGGTGAGAAGGAAGTCCCTTTCCCTCTTCTTTTATCTGTCAGCGAATTTTTCTCTTTGTCATCGTAAAAACGAAGTATCCAGTCCAGTGCCCTCAGAATGAAGTTGTGAGGAAGTCGGTTGAACATTTTCTTTATATCAAAGGAGGCGCACAATAGGTTACCTTTCTTCATCTTATCAATCAAGTTGTTAATCTCGTTGACTTTACGCACGAGCATATCTTTCAGTTTCAAATTGAAATGTTTGTTTTTTGGTAGGAGAAACAATAGATAATTTAGAGCGCGGGCTACGTGGCTCCCAACCGATCGGGAAAGTTTTGAGAAGGAAGGGCTGATGGGGTGAAATTTACATAGGTCCTTATTTTTAAGAATTATGTAAGCTCTGCCACATTTCCCCGATCCATCTCATTTTCCGATATTATTAAGTTCGCCTCATTGTATTCCCTTTTGCATTTAATTAAAATATCTGCTTAATATCTTCATTCGACAGTGAAGCTATTATTTCCCCAAAAAACATCTCTCATGTTCTTAGCGTGAATCTTTGGACACATGATCACAGTTTCGGCCGGGTTTTTATCAATTGTTGTTAAAACAAAATTCTTCTTCAAATTTCTCTGAAATTTCATTGAGCTTATATCGTGGTTACTTAAAACATGTGACGATTTCAAGTAACTCGATATATCATCCATCGTCAGTGACGTTGTCGAGAGCATTGGCCCCCGCCTTTTCTTGCGAAAGGGCGGGAACCCTCCCGCCCGTGTCACGCAGGAGTTAAACAAAAATTAAACAAAGAGACAATTGGGTCCCCTACGACAGGATAGGTTCCCGCGGGGCATAAGCTTGCTTCCCTAACGGGTTGTCACCACCCTTAGGGGCGTATCCCTACCGAGCTACCGACCCACGTGCGAAAGTTTTTAAATGCAATTGCAGAGGTGGGTCAGTCGAGGGCATTTGCTCGCTCACTGTAGTATAGGTACGCGTGATTAAAACGCCTATTGAACTCGGACGTCGTCCGTTCCTTAGCGCACTGATCTCATAAGTACAAAGCGTATGCCGGTCAACTAGGACGGTCTCAACCAAGCGTGAAACTCACAGTATCCTAGTCCCTTTCGACACCAGTCAAAAAAGAAAAGTTATAACAACCACGCATAATTACATCAGAAGGAATGGACCATAGTCGATAGGAAGGTACATTAATCATGAAATGAAAGAACTCGAATCATCATACGATACATCCAAGAATACAATATCGAAATAAAATCCGACCACCCCAGGTCGAACTCACAAAACAATCATACCCAACCGCCAACTAGAAGTTGGCTTCGACAATAACATCAATGCAGCCGACAAGGTAATTGAACTGCCGTAGTTTTGACTTGATAAGATGCGCTGCCAAAGTTATTAATGCCATCCTACTGCCGACCTAAGATTAAACACGCACACACCTGTCTCCATACATTTTTAATCTTATTGGATGACAGATTGTTTTACGAATGATTCTGCTCAGGCGCATTGCTTGAAGTGTTGCATGCCTCTCCCTTTAGGAAGTGGTCTGGAGTACTCCTCCTTCTCGCCTGAGCATAAGACTCAGATCTTAGAAGTTGGGCCGTCTCCACCGAATCGGCAAAGTACCCCCCCGTAGAACGGTCCACTCTGGGTCGATAACAGGACCGATTCCTAAAGCAATGAACGGCCGCCCCAGATGCTCCCTAGAGATAGAGAATGTATCCACTGCAAGTAACTTTCAATTATTCTTATTTCTCCTAAGTTCAGAGTAACTTTGACAAAAAAAAGACAAAGGGGATAAAGAATGAGAATCATTTGGATAGGTACATGCAGATAAGGTCATTCGGGATAAAACGGGTGAACCCTCGGGAAAAGGCTAAGTTATTTTGACCTTATCTGCTTTATTTCAATCGCTTTCATTTTACGACACGCACTGAATTAATCTTTCTTTCAAACCATAAGTCCTTTTGACAAGCAGACAAACTAGAAGGCAAAAAAAAAATTAATATTTTTCATCATCCCATGTAGACATAATTAACTTCCTTTGCAAGCATTCTTCTACCTACCTGCACACACAAAAACAACCACAGATCCAGAAAATCCTGCGACCCATACTCCCGTCAGATCCCACTTTTCACATGCGTGACCACACACGCTTTACTTAACCTTTTCTTTTAAACATTCAAAACAAATAGGGTCAGGCAAAGTGTGGGTTCACGCACGGGAGAAAAGGAGTCTGAGTGAATCCATTGACCTTGAGTGAAGTGATGGCGAACGCCCCCTCGCTCACTCAAGAAAACCAAGAAGAAATATACTTTTCACCGAAGAAAATTGCAGTCTTGAGGCAAGTCTCAGACCAACCGCTAGTCCTAATCCGTTCCCAACTCGCAAAT